TACGCCGGTCGAAACTGTGGCAGAAGGAGAACGAAGGACGAAAGGAACGCAGAGATGCAGATAAAACGAAGCCAACCGGCCTTTATCTTGCTGTGGATTTACTGTAAATACTGTTGGGGGACGCAACCGGCCACTGGATGCTGAATTCGACCAAACAACGTGGCGAGGGTGAGTAGTTATGGCGCCACTCGCGAGTAATAACATAGTCCTTCAACAGCGACATCAGTACGAAAGTTAGGAACAATTCGATCTTAACACTTACACTTGCCGTCGTTGAACGATCTACGATTGTTTACAATAAAATGTAAAAGTTGGTATGGAAACAGTGTAGAGATAGACCTCTATTCTATATTTTGAATATTATCATAAGTAGACAACAGACAGTGGAATTTATGAGAAATTCGAGAATAAAGATGAAGAGAACGTCACGTATGATTTTAATTATTTCCACATTTACTTACGATTGTACGGATTAGCAGTGTGCAGATAGGCTTCCCGTCTTCTAAAAATTAAATATTATCACAAGTAGACAATAGACAGTGGGAAATTTAAAAAATATAAAGCTGAAGAAATCTTCACGTTCGATTTCAATTATTTCCACTTGTTATATTTATTTATTGTGAATTTGCAGGAAATTTGATCGCAACACAATAGTATAAGAGTGCGAGGAATATTTCAATTTGAAGCAACGTTGGAAATTTTAAGATTAAATTTTGGATTTTGTTGTTCACTTAAATGTCTAGTTATTAGAAAAATATATGGAAATAATCTAAAAAAATTTATAAGTATTAAGTAAGCTATAAGCCTTAAAAGAACTAGAATATTTGAACTGGATTTCTTATAATAAATTGACAATAGAAACTCATTGTATATTACTGATAAAAATTTTAACTATAATACTAGTTCGTGATGGAACAAATCAGTAATTGTTATAAAAAAATATCAGCGATAAAACTATAAAAATTCAGTTAAATTGAAATTCATATATATAATAGATAGATGGATCAAATCTTTCAAATAAATTGAAACAAGTATTTAGTTTCATTTTATTGAAAATTTAATATTATTTTTTTTATCTATATTTAAAAAATTAATATTTTTATATTCAATAGTGTGTAAAGAATTTAGTAAAAATATTATTACAAATAATGTTATTATATTTATAATGAAAATTGTTAATCAATAAATAGGTATTATTTGTGGAATAGAAAACTAATTTTTAAATTTACTTCAAAATGACATTTTAATGTTATTATCTATTAACTAAGTTTTCATATATCTATATTTAGATTAATTCATTTAATAAAATTGTAATAATCTGTCTTTTCTGTAAAATACATCATTTTTTGATCCAATAGGAGGAGGAGATCCAATTCTTTATCAACAATTTATTTTGATTCTTTGGCCATTCAGAAGTTTATATTCTAATTCTACCAGGTTTTGGATTGATTTCGCAAATTATTATAAATGAAAGGGGGAAAAAAGAAATTTTTGGAAATTTAAGAATAATTTATACAATGCTAGGAATTGAGCACATCATCTATTTGCTGTAGGTCTTGATATTGATACTTTACATCGGCAACAATAATTATTGCAGTTCCTAGTGGAATTAAAGTATTTAGATGACTGGCAACTTATCATTGATCAAAGTTAAAATTTAATATTTCTTTCATACGATCAATTGGATTCATTTTGATGTTTATAATTGGAGGATTAACAGGAATTATACTTTCTAATTCATCGATTGATATTATCTTACATGATACATACTACGTTGTTGGACATTTTCACTGTGTCCTTTCTATAGGAGCAGTATTTTCAATTATTGCAAGATTTATTCACTGATTTCCATTATTTTCAGGTTTATTAATGAATCAGAAGTGGTTAAAATTTCAATTTTTTTTTTTTATATTCATTGGTGTACCGACTTTCCTTCTTTTGCTCTTTCCCCGTAAAAGTCGGATCGAATGCGTTATTCTTGTCCGTCCTGCTCGCAGTTATTTGTCTTTTGAACTCCGACACTGACTACTACAGAGATCACGTCGATTTCAGAAGAAAAACATTTGTTTGCTAAGAAACATATCGAAGTGAACAAGGAGCTTCGTCATCTTAGAACCTTATGCTATTTTCACAGTTCTAAACTTCTGTTTCTTAAAAACAGAAATCTATTAAACGAATTACATTTATTAGCTTGTTCTAAATCCTTGAATATTCGAAACATTGGAGATAAACGAATCCTTGGATATCAAATATTGAAGTGAATTTGTCATGAACACGTTTCCAGGAATTTTCGAAGAAGCGTACGAAATATACGAAAGTTGATGCGTTTCAACATCCCGAGTAAACTTCAATTCATAATTCAAGCCAGAAAAACATCGCTTTAAACGTCGCGTTTCAATATAACCTGTACGCAAAGTCAATTTACACATGAGAAGGCGGTATGAGTAGATATAAAAAAGATGCGAGCGCAATAAAGTAAAGCTGGCAAAGTAGCGCAATATGTTCCCCTGCAAAGTTTTTCTATCTCCACTGTGAAATGTAGTACAGTTCTTCACTCTTACGTAACTTTAATACCTTTGTAACCCAACCACTCTCTATACTCTCCAAATATGACTTCTGAAAATCTTTCTTTGACGTTCGTTATAAATAGAGCGTCGTACGAAGATCACCGGGGGAAAAAGTTAAATTTCCAGCTATTTTCCTGCTGCAGTATTTAAAATTCGATATGTTATCAATTATCCCGTAATTGCGTTTTTATTTCATTCTGAAGGTAAACACAGGCGCGTGTATTCTCTATTAATTTTACAAATATTAATATTTTGTAAATGTCTTTGTTTTAAAAAAGAAATTTACGTCAAATGATTATATCAAAAAATAGGATTCGAATTCATTCAGGAAATCAACAAGAGTATACAATTTATCACGTTCCTCCATTGTGCTCTTTAGATAAAACTGCTCATTTTCCTTCCCGACTAATCAACATTAACCCAGACGCTGCTTCCGCAATCGATTTAACAATGGCCGACCGTGATTCCGTAACTTTTCTTTGTACAACTTTTTTTCTCAGAATAATCCCTCGTACGTAAGAGAAATAAACGTTCTTCGGAAGGGATTTGATGCAAGTACTTTTCTTTTACAACGACGAACACCTGCCACTTCTCCGTTTACGTATTCGTGTCTCATCTTCGCGATTGCGACTTACTTCGCTCTTCTAAATCTCAACTTCCCCCTCGAACGATTAAGGAATAGACAAGTTGCATCAACTTTCGTCCATCGCACACTGTTTGAAAGTTGTTCTCCGATTGGAAAAGAAGTTATACTTCTGATAACTATTATGATTTACAAAAATTACTTATATAGAATGACGCCTGGATACACTGAGCATTATTTCAAAAATATCTAAACACTTGAGAAATCCTTAATCGTTCGTAAAAATTGTTCATACAGAATAGTGCCAATTGTTTATGTTATGTTCTGGCAACAAGCCTTTAAAGATCCTTCATTAAAATAGCATTTAATTCTTTAAAGTATTTTAAGTTTTCGAAATTATCGTAATATGTTTGTGAATCCTGTGTAGATCTATGAATTATTTACGAATCGCACAGAATGAAAAGGGCCTTCTAAACGAGTGATTAAGTATTAAATGAAAATACGATCTGATACGACAATTAATTTCCAACGTGCGTCGCGCCGATTTACGCACGAGATAGTAAGTAAAAAAAATCGACGACCATCGGAAACTGACTTCGGCTATCTTTGAACGCATTATCCTGGTCATTAATGCGAATTTAAAGCTATACAACAAAGAGAGCTGGATGCATTAAAAGCACCAACTATTCGCTGCCGCGATGCACTCAGCCTGGCCGCATTTTATATGTATTATTCTACTGGGTAACGTTACGTTCTTTCTGCCCGTTGCAATTTTACGTTTCGTACGACTTCGAATGGGTGAGGGCTTTTTATCAAAATTACACTTGCTTCCCATTTAAATGAAATTCATCGCGAACGGAGCATCTCGCAAAGCATCCCTCTATCGAAACAGAAAAAAAAAAAAATTGGATGAAACGCTCGCTCGTGTCGGTTACTCGAACGATTGGGCAACTTTTTTTGCATTGTTTCTTGATTTTTGCATTATTTTTGAATATCATATAATATAATAGGCGTAGAATTTTCTTTTGCAGTTTCTCTTGTTCTCATTCCTTTACGAGACCTTTATTTCCATTTCTAAATTGTTTTCTGGTTTCCAGTGACAAGTGCTTTTATTGTTCGTCCTTCGATTGAAAATTTCTCTTTTGATGTTTATCTATAATTTCTCAGTCTTCCTGACGCAAAGTGGATCGATGCTCCAATTTTCTCTTCGAATTTGGTTGAATTTTATTTCTGGATTTAATACCCATCGCTGTAACTTTACGCGGCGATTTTCACTACAGTTGATATTTAAATCATGAAAATTATAATATTTCCTGTAACAACATATTTTGCGTGACAGGCATGGCAAAATAGATCGTTAACTATGTATGTGTATAAAATATACGTATGGAATAAAATTCATCCGATTTTACATGCAAGAAAAGAATATTTTAATGACGAGAAATTCAGAGACAAAATTACCGGATAAATAATATAGTAAGAGTCGCAAGTAAATATAACAATGGATGGCCAGGTGACTTTTTCTCTTTGAAAAGGAAAGGAAACGGGGAGAAGGAATACAACAGAATTTGTCTCGTTACTATAAATTGCCATGCTCTCCGAAATTTTCAAGTTGTTATTTCTATTTTATCGTCAACTTCGCTTTATTTCGTTTTAAAATAAACTTTACCTTATTCTAAAGTAATGCCATGAAAAAAAATTTTTAAACTTACATAAATAAGATATGATAGCTTACATTGTCTTACTCTGTAGAAAGCTGGGATCAATACATCGAGCAAAGAAAATGTAACTTATAAATACAAATCTATAACGTTGTTTATTCCACTGTGTAAAAGTTGAATGTGGAAAATTTGGTTCCAATATTATAAAAAGGTTGTGTTAATAGTTGTATTAAATCATTCTCTGTTTAACAGCTGACGTGATATTGTTAACATTACTTTTCCTATAACAAATCAATTCAATCATTGAATATATCGTACTTTGTCCTGATTTTTCCGTTTTTTCGTAAATAAAATATTTCCATACAAGACAAATTTCAGATTTAAGCAAATACGATAATAATTTTGATACACAGGAATAATAAAATGTCTCAGTTTTAATTGTACATCTAAAAAAGGAAAGATCGCGATAAAATGTAACATTATGAATGGAGATGGATCAATTTCGACGTTGATGGTAATTGTATATTATTTCTATTATGTAGGCGGCGTTATATATGTATACCTTCGAATGTTATTACGTAAAGTAATATTGCTCGACGTACCGTGTGCTCATCGATCAAGTCATCATACGTCATGGCAGCATTAAGTTGACAAACATGATGGGCTACTTTAATATTATCTATCCCGTCTCGCGTGCACGCGTGTCGTAGTTATCGTTGAACCGATCACTTGCCTACCTGTAATCAATCAAGAAGCACCAATGATAATAACAGTAATCGAAATTTCCCACGAGTAAAGCGAAGGTCGCTACACCTATGGCGAGACCGAAGAGAAAATCCAGCATTATCGCAATATTCTTGGTACAAGAGTCGTTCGTGAATGTGTTTCTATCGTTGTATTTTATCGACAACGAGCCAGCACTTTCATGAAATTCAACGCTTAGCTAATGGCGGCCTCTAATTACGTGCTAGACGACGATACTCGCGTCGTCATAAATGTTCAAGCTCTCTTAATATTTTTGAGCATTTATAATTGTTTTGTCCACAACGTTCTGCATTTTTTGCAAAGTTGCTGCAGGTTCGAACTTCTCAATAAATTAGATTGTATTTTATAATGCACGGTTGTATCTGTATTCTAATATTTCTCATCAATTTCATTATATGAAGCTAGGGTGTAGTCAGTCTATGCTACGTTCAGTGAATCGAGAGCGTTTGGGTCAGACCTGCGGATGAAGGAGTGGAGGATATCTATATAATTTCGTACAGGCTTCCTGAGTAACCCCGTTGATGAATACTCCAACAGGCTACGAAAGGAGCTCTCGCTTCTTTCCTTCCATTTTCCCATTTCTATGATTACAAAATCACAAGATTGCTGCTCGTTTAAATTAAGTCTACCACTTCGAGCTAATTGTTCAATTACATCTTGGAATACTATCGAGTACCATTTATTGTCTTATTAATACTCTATATTATAAATTCCTAAGTGATCCAAATTAATACAATCGTGATTTTTTCTTTTTTTTTTTTTTTGTAAAATTCAAGTCCAATTATTCGAAATTTCATGCACCATCGATACAAATTAAAAATTCTCTTGCTGAATAGACATGTTCTATCTGTATACAAGATCGACGTTAACAACTCCACCAGACCAATGTCTTTACGTCTGTTCGTCCATTAAGCTGATCGCTAGAAGAACACGAAATCACGAAGACAATCACGTCGCGTCGTACGTTGCCGATTTTAAACACAGCGTGCGTCATCACGCGCTCGTATAATATGTATTATTCATCGTTATGTCATTGCGGCTGGGAGGGGCAGGGGCAAACGAGTGGGCGAGCAAAGCCCCACTGCTCACGGACGTCTGCTCGTCAGAGTAACCGAATCCCGCGTCACGAGAGTGGATTATAATTGGACATCGATATATCCTTGCCTCGGCTACGTTAGCCTGACATGCCAACGTACATATACATATTTATAACGAGACACAGGCCGCGTTTAAGCAACGGGCGCACGGCCCGGAACACGCATTCTT